AACTAATCACAAACATTTTTCAACTGTTTTTTTCTTTATTGTTTTCTCCCTAATCAGTTTTAAGTTCATTGGACAAATACAGTCTTGTGACAAAGGTCACAAGAAGCTGGAAAATAAGAACGGAAGATATCATCAGCTACAAAACGTGGTGATGATAAAAACAAAGGGGTAAAACAAGAGTAAAAATTGAAATTTATACAGGGGTAAGAATTCATTAAAGAAGGTCGTAGTGTTTTTGTACATCTTTGTAAACTAACGCATAGTAAAACAATGTGGCGAAATACTATGTGTAGAAGGGAGAGAGACAGTCCAACTGAAGAGACTCAAACACTGGTTGGCACGAGACATTTACAGGGAACTGTTACAGCCAGTCACTGTAAATGTCACATTCACAAAAACAGTCACACTGAAAAATGACTTTGTTTTCTACACGTGCTAATGACAGTAACTCTGCTACATACTTCACTCTGTCCCTGCTTTAAGTTTGATATGAGGTATATGCCAGGCACATTCTAATCCATGCCTCCACTCTTCAACATGGCAACTCACTCCTTATGATAATACAGCATTTCATTCACTCCGCCACATTTCATGATTGCTTAAAACAGGCCATGGGGGTCTTAAAGGTTTAGCATTTAAAGAGTCAGTCAGCAGAGTGATATCAGTAACAGCACTGGAGGTCAGCTGCAGCTATGGAAGACGGCGCAATTATTGTTCTGAAAAATTGAAAATAAAAATAAAAAAGACCGTACAGCATTACATACATTTTAAAATCAGCAAGAAATGACATCTAACATATACTAGAACATTTTCTGCTTCTGTACTTCTCAAATATAGGCACCCAATGTCTAATGGGGATAAATATGCATGGTGCATAGGCAAGTATGCACAAGGTCAAATTCACGTTCAGATGCATGTCACTTTGTGGTCAGCTGTTGTTCTCTTCCTGCCCGTGCTGAACAACGCTGCCGAGAAAAATCACTCACACATTTTATCATCAAATCTTATACAAAGCAAAGACGCTAAGTTGGGTAACAAGTCAAAAACTAAAACTAGGGGTATGAAATTACATTTACAATATCCCGATTAAATGTCAAAATCCACATCCCACCCTCAATCCCTCCCTCACTAATCCCTCCCTTAAAAGGAGAAAATGCAAATGAATAATCCAACTTTTGCATGATTCTCCTAACCAGCCCACACTACCCATCCACAGGGTATCTTCAACATCCACCCAGACTGTGTCAAACCCACTCTGCATATACAGAAACAATAAGTCTCAGTCAAAAAGCCAGTCCATATCTGACATTTGAGCTTTCTTGATCCGACAGGGCACTGTGTACGAAAACGGCTCAAAGTGCTAATTGAATTATTCTCAAGAAAGAACTGAGGAAGAACAAGAGGGCAGGATGGAGAGAAAGCCATTATATCACAGTTCAACAGCACCCTCTGTTGGCCAAAGAAAAGCCTTGGCAGCCCTTTATTTCTCCAAAAATATACTCGAAGTCTGATCCTTATATACTATAAGGATGAGACAAAATCAACCGTTGTTCTTCCTGAACTTCAATTACAGTTCATCAAAAATGATTAAATCTGTTTTTCTTTACATCAATACATATTCTTATAAATATATATTTATATAGATATACTATGTATGGCCCTTATTTTGAAAAAGACTTGAGTTTCACATTGACATGAAAGTACCATAATCTCTATGTAGCCAAGTAGAAAGTGTTTCAGTGTTCAAGTGAGCTGCAGCAGTTTGTTTATGGCTATGTTCAGATTACCGGACCGTTATTCTGATTCAATTCCGACTACGGACAGACCAAAGCAGAGTCACATTCACATGTGAACCCTATGGACCTCTGAAATGCATGTGCACGTTGTTAGATCTTGGTTAGGGTTAACTGTGGGAAATATCAATCATAAACTGAGTACATTTGGATTGAGTGTCAAAATGTTTATCATCTGGAGCTGAGAATTTAGGAAGCAAAGCCATAGAGGCAGATTTTTTTTTCGCCACTTGACATACTCAAAATATCATTGCAAATACAGTGCAACATGTCCTGTTTCAACCAAATTCAGAGGCTGCAGTACCTGGAGAAACCAGATGGAGACATGCAAACTCAGACAGTACAGAAAGTCTGGGGTTCGAACTACAAAACCAACGATCTTTATCACCACTTTTTTACTGAGGTTCCAGAGGCATCATTAACATGTTAAATTATTCTATGAAACATCAGCAGAGAGAAGCTATTTGCACAATTTTACCATTACGCAGTAATTCAACAAAAAACGCCTTCTAATTTAAATGAAACTAGTAGACAAGTTTGTTTTGTATCAAGTGCAAACAAGTCTCGTTGGGACTACAAAACAATGCTGTCTGGAGCTCAACCCTCGTCGGGGTTCCAAAGGGTTCTGTTATTCTTAAAAAGACTAAATCACTGAACCAGAATACTTTAAGGCCACGGGGCTCTGTTATTGGGACAGTCAAAATAGAGTATTGAGGCAAAGTGAAAGGACATGTATTTGAATAGCCATCTTTCCTGATAGGCTAGCCTAGTAACAGCTGTTGCTTTATCTAATAAAAAAAAAGAAGATCTGATTGGATTCACCTGAGCCAGGTAATCTGAACATAGCAGTGACACACTCAACAAAACATAAGAAAAAATTATCTTTGAAGTCAGTCTCAAACATCTAAAAACTGTGCTCACTGTACTTCTGTACTTCATAGGCTTCTTCCTTACATGTTTTTTCCTGAGTAATACTATAAACTTTGTAACAGACAATATGTTTCTTTTTGCTAGTTCAGTTCTGGGCTAATCCCTGCCATTGTTTCTCCATTATTCGCATCCTGTAGTTGTAAAGGTGATTGCTCAAACACTCCAGGTCGTTGGAAAAAAAGAAACCTGCACTACACTACTCTTGACTTAAGGAAGTACTTTCAGTTCCTGATTCAGACCTAATGTCACTTATGACACAAATATAACAGTCAATGCATACTTAACTTAAAAACAACAGATTTTTAAAAATGCAGATGCATGCCTCGCAGGCCAATTGCTGGGAAGAGTGGGCAGAAAAACTGAGCGTCTGCAATATTAAAATAGACATGTTAATTAAAAAAATAATAATAACAATAATAACAATAAAATAAGAGAAGCAGTAATTTTTAAAAAAATGATGCAGAACATTATCTTCAGCAACTGTGGGTTTTCTCCCACTCAGGCTCTCATCTGTAGCTTTGGCTTGTTGGAGTTTTGGAACCTGAACTTACTGGCTCATTGACATCAGATAACAAACTAGTATACCCTGAGAATTCAGTCACAGGTGTTCGTATCCTGTGATCCACCTCCCCGCCAGAGTCAGTGCCATACGACAAGCCACGGCCGTCTGACTTGAACTGGGAGCCAAAGGCCTGGGCAAAGTTTTCAATCTGGTACGAAGGCTTGGACGAGTCCAGTGAGGCCAGATCCTGCGAGGAGGCGAGGGGGAAGACTGCGGTGCCATTCTTGACCGGCTGCTGGTCTTTCTGGCTGCTCAGATCAGACGGGCTGATTTGGTAAGAGGAGGGGGGAGTTGAGGAGTGCTGCTTCTCCATCTGCTCTGTGAGCTCCTGAGATGGCGTGAGCTGCTGGTGAGTGGTTGGTTCCAGGCTGCTTAGGTGGAAGCTGTGCTGCGGCGAGGTGCCGGTCAGCATTGCAAAGTGAGATTTTGGCACAGACGAAGGAAGCGAAGGCGAGGACACGGGCTGGCCAAACCCACACTCTAGTGGGGATGTAGTGTATATGTTCTTGTCAGCATAGAGGGGGTTGCCTGGGTGGGAACTTGTGAACAATCCTGAGGCAGGAGAACCTGGGCCAAGAGGAAAGCTGCTGGTGTGACTTGTCCGCTCCAAAGCCTGCAGCAGGAAGCGAGAGTATTCATGCATCATTATGTTTTTGTCTCCAGAGGGGCTGGATGTGCCTGCTCCATGGCCAATGTCAGCACCATCAGCTGAGCCAGGGTTCAGCTCCACATGCTGGTCACTGATGCCAAAATGAACATCGTGATGAGAACCATCAGGTTTCTGGGTGTAGTGGTCAAGAAGGCTCTGCAACACCTCGTCGGGGATTCCTGACTTGTCCAGACTCAGGGGAGCATCACTGTCCATCACACTGGAAACCACACATTGTACTACAGATGGCTGTGAGGAGAGGTGGCCAATGTTGACATCGTACTCACCGGTGGTTCCTCCAGCCACTGAGCCGGATGGGTTTGTTGTATTTGCTGCATGAAGGTACCGTCTTTTCTTTAGAAACTGCATGGCATCGTCGTAGTTGCTGCTGGTGCCAACTTTGGCTCCATTACCCTGCATGAGGCCAAGTCCATCCATGCCTACGTTCTGCTCCATTGAGCCTGCTTTGGCCAGATTTTTACGGTTGGCTTTCTTAAAAGCCATTTTTGGAGCGCGTCCATGATGGCTCTGCTGCATGCTGGGCCCAGGCTCAGTAGAGGAAGATACTGTTTGGTTCTCCATTGAATATTCATGGAGGCTGTAACCTCCTGATGCCACACCATGAAGGTGTGGTATCCTTTCCCCTCCGCTGTACGCCTTCTTCTTTTTGCGCTCCCCTCCTTCCCCACAATTTTTGGACTTGCCCCTCTTTCTGCTGGTACTCACAACATTTCCCTGAGTGATTCCATAGCTGCCATGCCCCATGTCAACACAACCCAAGTCCATCATCCCGGGATCCAGTCCCTTTTTAATGGCTTCTCCACAAGTTCGCTTGTGCTTGAGCAGGCGGTCTGTTCTAGAAAAATACTGAAAACAACAAATAGCAAATATAGATTTAATAGAATATAAATAAAGCTCAGTAAGTTTCTTGACTCCTGAACATCTCCAGCTCCAGTTAAATTAATAAAGTACAGATGAGTGGTGCTACTATAGAGGCTATGAAAGAATACAGGGTCAGTATTTGGCAACAGTCCCTAGAGCTAGTCTGGAAATCTAAAGGCTTTTATTGATCCACCTTTTCTATCCTACCCTGTACTTTTTCTCTGGAAAAGAGACTTTAAACATGCTACTATGAAAATATCTAACATGGAAAATGTAAATATAATCACAAGTAAAATCCATGTATGCTTATCATACCAGCTCTAATCCCTAAATATTTCCCTTCCTTACACTTACACACATTACATCAGTGGTACATAAGACGTTATGCAGAACTGTTTCCTGTGCAACAACAAAATTGCATAGGTACTTCTTGGGTTTAAAAACGTAATAATTACAGTTTAATTCAGTTGACATGACTAACCTGTTGACAGGTCTCACATCTGTACGGCTTCTCTCCACTGTGTGTCCTCTTGTGCCTCTCCATGTGATACTTCTGAATGAACCGCATGTTACACTGGTCACAGCTGAATGGTTTCTCTCCTGTCACACAAAGCAGTACAGGTCCATTTAACTTATTTTCCTGTTTCATGCTAACAAGACAGGTGTCTCACAACAGAACGAGGACTAATGCGATCATGTTTCGTGAATCTTACCGCTATGAATTTTCTCGTGTCGCTGGAGAAGGTACTTCTGAATGAAACTCATGTTGCACTGATTGCACCTGAAAGGTCTTTCGCCTGAAATACAACCACAGATGTATTTATTGAAATGTCCTCTTTACTTGCTTTGATGGTTATTTTGTTAAATATCAGATATGAAATTAATAAATATACATAGATTCAAATAATTCTAAACCAAGACAAGGTGTTTAATGCGTAGACTAACACTTTAACTTAAGATACATTTTAATCAATTGTAAGATCAAAAACATGTTTATCTGTACCACTGATATGAGCAAAGGTAGAAAACCCAACCTGTGTGAATGAGGACGTGTCTGCGCAGGTGATAGGAGCTTCTAAAGGATGCACTGCAGTGCTCACAGATGTGAGGCTTAGTCCCTGGTGAAAGGCTGCTTCCCTCTGGATCCAGCATCATGGATTGCTGTGGTTAGGTACGAAGGAAAGAGCAGAGTCAATGTTTTTCTATGTGACCAGCTTCAAGTTCTGTAAATTTTAGCACACATACATCTCAGGGACATAATTATATACTAGAGTTGGAATATTTAATTCTTTAATGGTTTCTTCCCGTTCAATTATATGATTTCTGACATAGCATTTCACCATGTTTCACCTGTTTTGTAAACATGCCTGGTCAGTAAATGTACGTGTATGAATAATTCAAAAAAAGGAGGGTGGTCGGTTTTCTGTAGATTTTTTAGGTGTTAACATTGCAATCTTGGAGAAGATATTTGTTCCAGTAATTCAGCTTTTTTGAAGTCAAATAGTATGATTTACTTGGACAAAAGTCAGCACCAAGTGCACTTTGTGCGATGAGTAATTACCTATTAATCTTGGTTATTGTGATTGTAAATAATCATGAAAAATAATAAAATAAATTAACATTTCAAAATATGTATCTATATAGTTGGAACAGAAAGACATAACAGCAGAAAATCCTGTGGTTAACATTAGTTCATCTGCTGATGAACTCCTCTGTCTGAGCCCCAACAATTTTAGACCTGAGAGAAATTCCCAGGAACATCTCTCTAAAGACAGATCCCATTAATCAGAATGGTGCAGACAGATGGGTAACCCGAAGAAATGCCGCACACTGCCATCACTGTTGACGGCATGGAGTCCTATTCAAACGGGTATGGATAAAACTGCACACATATTTAAAAGGTGATTACTCAAAACACAATGACTATCTGCTCAGGATAAAATTAAATTCTTTAAAAAATCCATTGTAAGTCAGAAATTCAAATATCATTTCTAATATTAACAAGAAATTGTTCATTTGCATGTGTGCTTGTGTTGATGATAAATTGTAGCATGTGCCTCTGCAGACATGTATATGTATACCTTTGCATCGCTTCTCTTCTTTCTTGGTTTCGCCTCCTGTCCATCACCATTTGACCTTCGACCCTTTTTCCCAGTGGGCTGCTTTCCTAACTGAGTCGGCAGCTGTGAGGTTGACAAAGGGAGAAGGACCATGAGACGAAGCAAGGACAAGGACAGCACTTGACTGAAGGTTAAACCTTTCCAGTCGCAGTCTGAGTCGCAAACTAGGCCATGTTCTTAGCTCATGTAAACAAAACACATTTGAAATGTGAATGATTTGAGGTTGGAGAGTCACTGAGCTGCATGAGGTTTAAAACCGGGAAAACAACAAAGCCTCATCTTTATGGCTCCTCCATGGATAAACAGCCTATAAATTACAGAGAGCCTGTCACCAGCTATTGTAGCCAAAGGAACATGCAACACGGTTCACATGCAAAAAATATAACAAACAATCTGACTCTTTCAATCTCATTTCGTTTACTCTTTGTCTTAATCAGTCTGCTACTCATTTCCATACAATTACTGGGATCCATGACAAATGTCAAGTGTTGTAGAGCCAGTCAATGCATATATTTATTTACAAGGCTGTTTTGTGAAAACAGCCATGTTTTGGGATTCTATATTGGTTATGAAAATGGCAGAAATGTGAACTGTCAATCTTAGGATTTATTCTTGTAAATCTGCAAATTTGGTCTAAAGTGGAAAAAACATTTAATTATGCTCCTGTTTTTAATTTAGAATTCACTGCAAAGTAATTGAGCATTAAAACTGCAGTGGAGCAGAAACTGAATATAAATTAATTTAATTATTTTTTTCTCACCAGATATATGCAATTGTATACATTTTAATCTAGAATAAGCCCTTGGTAAACAGAGCAGCAGCTGGGCTTTAGTATGGAGCCTGGTATGTTACATATCTTTTGTTTTTTAATGAGAACTACGGGCCATATGTTGTCCTTCATGGTTGGATAGGAATATTGAGTTGAGGGAAACTGGGCGACAACATGAGACTTGTCACTAATTTTCACCTTTTTCTACAAAGTCCAGTTTACCAGTGCTGCTGTCGTTGGTTTTGTTCTTTTAAAAGGCATATAAATGTTATCACGAGTAATTTAACCGATCCTCTCAAACCTGTGCCTACTGTTGACAGCCGTTTTAATTCAGATGCTTGGAGGAGCCATATGTTGATTCACAGTAGTATTGATAAGTCTTCATCTTCTTGTCAATGTATAATCAATGCTCTTTTGTGTGCCCATGTCAGACCTCTGTGCTTTTCAAAAATTCCTCAGATTTACACAGCTGATATAGAAATGTGTTTTGCAGATTTCCCTTTAAATGTTGCATACACAAAATGCTGACTATACAAATTTGTATTTTGGTTTTTAGGTCACATAACCTGGATTATGTGGGATTCTAGTTAGCTTGCCTAAGTGTTGAATGTGTTGTGTAAAATTCAAGTAAATGATGAACCACCATAGAAAAGCATGGATGCATGTTTTGCTCTAAAGGTGATAAAAAAAAATATATTTAAAAATTAGTCTTTGTAAAGAATACAGTTCATTTTCCTTTCTGACATATTCAAATGTATGGGCCCAATGACCTGTGCAGACTGGGCTTTAGTCTGACTTTGGATGTGTGTGTTATTGTTTGAATGAGCACAAAAGACATGCAAAATGAATTGCAAGCTTGAACGAGACAGCTGTGTCCTTGCCAAGACGTTTTCTTTCATGCTGAGGCTGCATGACATCACCCTTCTACCCAGAGCGCGGAACAGGAGGAGGGGAGGGAGAGAGAGGGTAGGGGGTGTGAATAGAGGGGGATGATGATCTGATGATTTTATTTTTACATTTCAAAACAGAAAAAAAAAATGATGCCAAAGAGTGTCTTACAAACTCCTCAGGGTCTGGATATATGGAATATCCACAACCAAATAGATGATGAATGTTGAGCACAAACTAACCCATGATATTTAAAGACAATAGAATATAGATTCATAGATTTTTTTAAAAGAGAACTGAATATTTATGAGGTTTGATCAGTGACAGATAACAGCGCAAACCAAACACTGAGTTCAGACTCACTATGTTTGAATGTCTTTAAAATCTGTAGATCTGCAATGTTGACATGTTATTTTACACATTTTCCTCCATTGCTGAAAACATCTTTGTCTGTGTATCTCAGAAAGTGTCTTAAGTAATAATTTCTGGTTCCTTCTTAGACACCGAGGTATCTGTAGTCAATGTCTTACTTACTGTTACACTAGAGTAAAATGACAAATTAAATTGCACTTTAGTTTTTAAATCTGTAAATGATAGGTACATGGCTAGCTCAAAGCTGTAATGTCATTTTTTTACTCCAGTTAGAAATTCATCCTTATACTATATATACTGACTATTGAATGACGACAGCTAAATTAGAAATCCTCAAAGATGATATATGTTTTTTTATTCAAAGGAATCAACTTGGTAAACTTTGACAAAATGTTTTTAGTTTTTGAGGAAATTCTAGGCCCTCTTTTGTTGCAAGAGTTTATATTTTAAACCAAAACCTACAGAGACTGACTGGACCCAGACTGTCAATGTGACTATAAACACTTTAGACACATGAAAACTGCTCCATTGTATCACAATATGACAACAGTTTTCTTTCCACCAGCTGCTAAATTTTCTATGAGAGGAGAGAGACGAGAAGAGGAAAGTGAATTGATAGCATGTCTGCTTAGTACTAGTGCGTGCTAAGATTAAGATTTCCTCTTGATCAACATGATTAATATTGTATAATTAATAGTGTTTTGTTTAAGGAAACTTGAAAAAGCAGGCATAGCTGTTAAAAAAATTAAATTAAATGTATATTTTAGCAAGTTGAATAAAACTACTGGAGCAAAAAATAATATTACAAAACCTTGATACAGATATCATTTTACTTCAATGAAACCTTTAGAGAGCACCAATTTGATGAAAAAAAAAATAGTTTCCAGTTAAATTTTTAACTGGAAATTACCTGAAAAAGCCATTAACTCAGAAAACCACTGTGCCCGCAGCTCAAAGTAGTTTTCTCTTTCAGTGGTACTTACATTGCCTGTGTTGAGGTCATGCACCAGCAGGCCCTGGTTGTTACTGACTGTCACCTCCAGCAGCTCTGTGCTCTTCTCTAGACCTCCAGGGTAGAGCGGCAGGCGATAATCATGCTCCGATGGCTTCTCCTGTTTAATGCCCATGGTGTGAACATAGTCTCCCACACCGATGCCGCCCAGGCCGAGACCATGGGCATCCATGCTGCAGTCAGGAGAGTCACGCTCTTTCTTTAGGATCATTTCTTGAGGTGGAAGGTCCTGCATCACGGAGTGCGCAGCCAGCCGGGTAAAGCTGGTCACGGGCGGGAGGTGGCTGAACATTATCATGCCAGGGCCAAAATTGGTGTCCATGCCCCCGTTGGAGCGAAGGAATTCATTGGCTAGTTTGTCTTGAATGATGTTCATGATAAAAGCCGGCAGCCAGGCAAACTATGGGGTGGTAATAGGTTTCATCCTGTGAGAAAAACAAGCAACAGGCTAAAAGTTGGGGACAAAGACACAACAAACTAGATAAATGTTCTCAGTTGCTGTCAGTTTTCATGTTGGGTGTTTTAAAGGGCAAAAAAGTCAGTGTGTCTGCAGAGCCAGACACAACATGAGACGAGGAATGAGAGGATTGAAGTCGTGTGTTAATCTCTTTGATGGGCCTGTCTCTGACCCAGTCATCCTATTTGCATGGGCTTATCTGCCAATGAAAGGCTATGTACGTGTACACACATACACACACAAACAGCATGAGACTGATGTTGTTGTTGGACTCTTGCATGAAAACAAATCAAAACTGAACTACAATACAAAGGAGTAACTAGTTACTAAAAACACTCATGTATTTTACTGTCTCATGTTTGATCGGTCTGTTAAATTAGACATTCATGTCTGTAACCAGTAATTACTTTCAAAGGGGTGAAATCATCATAGATTTAAACATAGTAATTGTTTATTAATTGTTAAGTCTTTTTGTCATAGGAACTGTGGCCAAAACTGCAATGTAATGTCAAATGTCTTCTTAGGATTTAGATCACTGCTTACAAAAGGAATCACGATTTTATGATGTTCTTGATAATGTTAATATTATCAATGAAGCCTTATAAAAGGAAATGTATACAGCTGTCTATAACCACACTATGGTTGTCAAGCACAGGGAAAAGTTAGGAGATACTCTGCTAAATTTGGAAGTAAGTTCTTGTGAATAAAAGGTCATGTTAAGTTAACCTTTTTGTACCTTTCCATAGCATCTATTGGAATACAAACAATCAAGTCAGATGCAAAACAGTAGACAACATGAATTGATTTACACACCGATACTTGAAACCTGGCTTCTAAGAGATATACTCATAATACATAGCAAGCAGGAGTTACACAGCATGTAATGCTCTGCTCGATGTATAAATCTGCTCAAATGGAAAAGCTGCTTTCCAAAAATACTTTGGCATTGTATAAAAAAACAACACCTTAGAATAGAATGCTAGACAACAAATTACAGATGAACACATATTTAAGTCTAAACATATATCAAACATCAGTATTTCCATTCATAGACTTTCATAAGCCGTGGAAAACTTTGGTGATCATGATTTTTGTATTACACCCTTTTCTTATTTGTACTCTTCTTCTGAGTATTGTGTTTTCACCCCTTCTGTAGCATTTACGTTGGATTAAAACGTTCTTCACCAATGCGGCAATAGTTCCAGGTGACACAACTATACAAAGTGCAACTGTTTATGCCGGCCCCGTTTCAGCCGGATTTTTCCCCTTTTCTTTTTTAAATATTTGACGCATTGCTTCTGACAAAGTACATTAAAATCTATATTTACTCATTTCCAGTCACCGTCTCCATTTAACGAGCGTCGTCTGCCAAATGCCTTCATTCTGCTGTGATGTGTTAGCACCAATCACTCAGTCGGCTAATACAAAGCAAACTTTTCAAACAAAACCCACAAAACGTGACTGCGTTAGATAGTTCGACTTTCTCTCCTGTGTTTCAGCAGATAAATATCATTATATAGTTTTAACCCGGAACGTTTGCAGACAGGAAAGCCACTATTCTTTTTCGCTCAATTAGCTCTGTGAGCTAACCATCTGGCTCTTTGCGGGGCCCTTCTTTGTGATGCAGGATCAGGCAATAATTAATATGGCCATGCAATAACAGCCGGAGCAACAACGCCGATGAACACAAAACAGCGAGTATTCATGAAAGAAAAACACACATGCAAAACCGAAAATCCATACAGGACTCTGTGCTTTTACAACAGCGGTCACAAAGTAAGTTTGCGACTCCTAGATTAAAGATGAATGATCTTTGTGGCAGATAACAGCACACAGTACACCACGAACACATTATAAGAACTGGAAAAAGGATACAATTGCGAACGATGAGGTTTGTTTTTTAGCAAAAATTCGGTTATCTTACTTGTTTGTGTCTATTTAAATTGGCTTTGGTAGCTGAGTTTCCTCTCGGAAACTTACCGACTGTGAGTGATGGAGCGAACACACGGACATGAGACACAACAAACGGCCCGTACAACTCCAGCGAACAATGATGCTCAACCGATTAGCCGACTGCGGCTAACTTTAGCTGCTACACAACGCTGTGCTTTGTTGTCTGTCCCACTACAGCAGTGATTAGCGTCCTTGGGAGACATGCTCTGCCTAAAAAGTTTGACTTTTTACAATCTCTTACCGGTGTAGGAACATGGCCCAGGGGTTTTGGCTCTCGTAGTTCGCCCTCAGCTCTTCTTTTTTGAACATCTAGAGCCAAAACATTGTTTTCCCGCAGCAGCTGGGCTCTTCCATCTTGGCTCAGCGCAGAGGATTCTGGGTCCTGCAGAAGCGACCGTCCTGAACACAGACTCAATCACAAATAGGAATATAACGTCATCGGTATGTTCTTACGAAACAAGGACCACCAACGATAATAAATTTAATACTATATACATACAAAACAACAATTATATGTACAAAACAAACGTGATTTTTTAAATTAAACTTAACATACAATTTAATAACAAACTCTGATTTTATTTTTTTTAAATGGTGTTTTTTCATAATAATGTATATCAGTGTAATATATAAAAAGATTCTCAAGGTGTTCGCAAATAATATTTTAATTAAGTTACGAGAAATATATAATTTGATGAATTCTACAACATTTCTGATAATACTATTCTATTTTATGTGCTAATAGCCCTAAAGAAAATTAAGATTTACAGACTAAAATATATTTGCATATTCTTAATATGAATAGTGACGTATGTAATCAGAGTTTTGTAAAGTTTAAGAGTGATGTAGGTTATAGAGGGGGAGAAACTATTAAATTAGATTAAAGTTTAACAACTTTATTCATATCTATTGGGATCATGTGTATTATTAAGGCCTGTGTACATTACCAGGGACACTTTCACCATATGTTTGACATCACCAGTGGCTTGTATTATCAGTGGTTATAAGAGTGATAGACAGAGTATTCAAATATTCAGATTAGACAAAATACTCTGTATTCAGAAAGGTTCAATGATTCATCTGGAAAATGTTAAAATTAATTTGAGCTACAAGACTAATCGGATCATTGCTGATTCCTGTGGAGACCCCCCATCTTCATGGGTCTCTGCATGAGCTAATATGCATGCATGATTTGCTTCATTTTATTACCGTTGTCTCTGCTGAGGTAACCCTCCTTCTTATTGATGGGCTCAGGGATAGTATTTAGAGGACACCAACTGTGCCCTTTATTTCGTTGGGTATGCTTTGTGTTTAAGTTTAAAAGGCTCACACAATATCTCCCCAAAAGCCAAATGTTGACACATTCACAGCTTTACACAGATTAAGACGTAGATTTACAAAGTCCAAAGACAATGTATTCTATTTACATTTTTCTCTTTCTTACAACCACATGTTTCCCACATGTTACTGTAGGGATTGCCATCTGCAGATTGTTTCTTTTTTTGGTATGTGTTTCAGTGATAGCATTCCATGTTTCTTTATGACATATGGAGGAGCAGACAACATGTTTAAAAGCTGCAGTTGATTGTTGTGATGGAATCAGATGTTTGGATGACTGTGACAGATTTAATCCAAAGAAAATATTTTTTTCTCCATATAAATGATTACGCACACATCTAAAAACACATCACAGTCAGGACTTACACCCACCATCCTGGTTGCCTTTGCTAATGAACCAATTAATTCAGAGAACAGAGAAGAATTGAAATGCAGACTGTGGAGTAATGCAAAAAAGCCTAGAGTGTGAATTTTTGATGCCTCTGCTCCTTTCATACATGAAGATGGCAAATCGCACCATTGCAGATGATATCATAAAAAAGCTTTCATCATATTCAAATTTAATGGATGCTGTTGATGAAGTGAACTCACTTGAAAAATCATTATAAAAGATAATGCATTTTGTTACAGTCAAGGAAGAATACATGACAAAAAAATAGTCCAAACATAGAAAATCGTATGTGATTAGTTATGTGATATATACATATATATAAACATATATTTGCAGTGTGCATCTTTGTTGTTTCAAAAGAGCCTGAAACAACAAAGCGAGGACACCCCATGAACGTAGTGTTATTTCAATGACTTCCACTGAATTTTATATACCAGTTAATCCTGTGAGTCAGAAACACAAATACATGGCTCACCTTTCCATCAGTGCCCACTGTGAGCTGAGTGTTGTAGACATAAAGGTCGTAGACATCATGACTCCTGCACTCATCGTTAAGTCATCTGACGCTGGCTCCACTTTGATTGGAGAATTTTACTGTCACCATGAGGATACCGTAGAAATGATACCTGCAGAGAAAGAAAACCTATAGTTACCCTTACATACAGTGTATTACAATTCTGTGGAATTTTGTGTATGACATTATAGGAATGATTATTAGAACCAACTCCTCATTAATTATTCAGTCTGTGCAGTGTGTCTTTGTTCTATCTTCCCCTCCCCTAAATCAATTCTAGCCTGTCCCACCACAAATTGGATACTAGTTGAATGGCTTTCTCCATGTAATAATGGCAGCCATGAAAACTGTGGAGAGCTGAGGTTCACTGATTGTGTTGTGCTGACTTGGATTCCTCTCAATGGGAAAGCCTGATGCTTACACACAACAGATGGCCATGCTGCCTGACTACTCTCTAATCCTCAGTTGTCAGGAGGATCACAGCAGTGAACTGTATGATTCCCCTCTGTCCAAACGCTAGTCCTTTGCTGGAGCCTCAGCACATTATGCAGCCCCTTCACATCTTGTACAGATAACGTAAAATGTTTTAGGATATTGGCGTCATTGGAGTGATAGGCGGACAATGAAGAAAAGCAAATAATAACCATGAATAGACAGAGGACCACTACAAATGACAGTGATAATAAATTAGGCAGTGAGTAAACACACACATCCAAAGCACCGGTTGCACAGAAAATGACTGATGTACTAATATGAGAGAGCCATTTTAGATTCATTTGGATGACCTTTTGTTCAGATGGCATTCCACATCTTAACTCTCTAATTAAGTTTGAAATGCGATTCCTTGATTTATCCAGGGAAATGATAGTGATTTGTTCACTATTTCTCAAAATGCAAACTGAAAAGACTTCTAAGTAGACTTTGCCTAATGCACTATAATTCAAGCAATACAAACCGTTTTTATGAAAGGTTCAGTATTATTACGATAGCTCATTACAGGATAAGCCTTAATGCAGGACTAAAGTACTTCCACTTCCAAGTATACCAATAACATAATTCCAATAATACTTAGGTTTGAAATTGGGGTTGTAAGTTAATAGCGCCATCTAAAGACTCTATTTCAAATGTCTTCTTGGTAAAATTGCCATAAAAGAAGAATTGAGTTTTATGTGCTGTAAGCTAGTGGATCCAGCAATGACAAAATTCAGTTACAGTTTGCGTACTCTTCAGTTATGGATTATGGTTTTTATACCCAAGGAGGATTCTAGGGTTTGTTGGAAAAAGAACCTTACACCAAGAGTTCTCAAAATCTGGCACAAGATCAAATAGTGGTACCTGCATGGATCTTACAAGAAACCAAACTTAAATGTGTTTTTTTATTTTATAATTATTATTATTATTGGTGCTCTTTGACAGTGTGTCCCAGTCAAAAGCTCATTGTGCAGCGCCAAACAAAAATGTCACAAAAAGTATATGTAAGAAAATATAATGATCTACTTGTTATAATTTACTCAAAATTTACTTAGTTAAAGCAAAACCTGGGTCTGTTTAGTTAATGCTGATATATACTCGCAGGAATTGAAGACTCACAAAGATCTTGTTCAACAGCTCTGAAATTAGTTTTCTTAGCCATCTGCTACTAACTAGTGGAAGAGTATGTACTTGTTCTGTCTGTCAATGTCACATAGAAGAACAAAAATAAGTTATTTGCAGTAAATCAATAACAGTTTTTGGACCAATTCTTTTGAATTTGGAAAATTCTCCATGGTATACCGGCTGATCTCTCATGCCAGACTAATCCGCCACGGCACAGTGACTGGGAATCACTGCACTAAGACATCAAAAGCTAACTAATATACCAAGCACACCTTATTTACTTCCTTTTTTAAGGCATGCAGCAGACATAGCAATGTTCTGTGTTTTTACTTATAATAAAGCTTGAATGGAGTGTAGTGAGAGAAAAAACAAACCATCAACAATAGATTGTGATCTTGTTTTTCAGTGTAAACAAAGGCTTGTGTTTTTCCATAAAGACGCATGAATAACACTGCAGTGTGTCACAAACATAGCTCATTCAGAGGTGTGTAAACAGACACCGGTGTAAAACCTACAGTGGCATTTGAAGATTGTTTACAGTCACGTGAGGAAAATGGAGCCGTGCAAAAAAATCCATATCTATTTACAGAAAACACCCATGAGTTACAGAGATATGACATTGGAAAAACACTTGGTGAGCCGTGATATGGGCCATCTACTGTTTAAACCTCTTTACTAAAAAAGACTTAAGATTTAAACAATGACCAGCCTTTATCTGGATAAAGGGAACATGGAATTACATTAAAAATACATTCGGCTTATCAATAAAAATCAGCATATCTAATAATTTATTCATGAAGTTAAAGCCTAAAATATCTTATAAAGCACATAACTATTAAAAGATGTTTCAAACAGATTGGGGTCTTCTTTGAAGTCTGCTGTAAAATGAGTCCAGTGTAAGGGCAGTCACAGAGCCTGAAACTCAATTAGACAATAATAGTAGTCCTTAAACGTTATATATATTCTATAGATCCTGTGTTGTCTGATCAAATTGAGGGTAAAAGAATCCAAGGTCAAAAGTCTATATCTAGGCTGTCCTTTGGGAGAGTACTGGTGCAGGAAATCTTGGACTGTAGCGGCAGAGCGATTTCTCAATCAATAAGACGCCTTCTCAAGAAATGAGAGAAGATCCATTGGAAATGAACAATGCTTCAGGAGCACAGAGTTGTGAATTCTATCACTCCAACGCAAAACGATACTGTAAATCTTTCATAAAAGATGAGTTCTATCCATCAGTTTTTTGCAACCTTTTTTGAGTCTCGTATTATATTTTACATTACAAAAAAAATAAAACAGTGCAGGGCATAAAACTGTCTGTCCACCTTCTAACCCTAATCGTTTTCAGGGTCTCAGGGGAAGCTGGAGCCAATCCCAGTCATCATCTAACAAAAGCATTCCTTTAAAAGTTCACCTTCAGTCACGCACAACCAAATATAGAAATACAAAAACACATGGAGAACAGACAAACTCCATAAAAAAAATATGAGAGATTTATCCAAGCTTTGGTTTCCTTTCTGTAGGTCAACAGCATGAACGACGTCTTCACCAACAGCTGTCCAATCTAACCAAACCCTCAAACTCCCGTGCATTACCTCTATGTACCCCTTTGGGATAGCAAGATTTTGCATCTTTAAGAATTAGTGAAATTCAGAACCGTTATTAAACTATAATATTAAAACGAACCAGAGTTTTTGCATTTCTGGACCACAAAACCAAAAAGACGTATCTAATCAAGTCAATCTGCAATTCAATTAGCTCTTGCCCTTGATGTTGCCCCTGCTGGAACCTCAGATCAATGTGCACATGGGTCTGGCGTCCAGTAGATGGCACAATCTAACTTGACAGCGCAGGAATCCTCCATCCTCATCACCTCGGACTACGTTGCAGAATCAGCTGTTGTGTGAAGGTGTTGTAGTTTCTACTGAAAAAAACCCGACTAAATCAATATAACCAAGTGATAGGTTTATTAAGCAGTAACGGTCACTTAAATGTACTCTAATCAAGGGTTGCCCTCCTCATCCATCCTTCTCCTTCTCAATCTCCACACAAGCACAGTCTACTGAAACCCTCCCCTCCTGTGTCCTTGCCTCCTTCCCTCCCCCTCCTCGCCCCCTCCCCCTTTTACTCACAAACACACGCTCCCCTCCATCCGTCACAGACCACCAGTGGATGTGAATGGTAGAGGGAGCACCTCGTACTTCGCTCCAGTGGTGAGCATCACTACGGTCAGTGCAGAGCGCACAGCCAGCGGTTGCGCTCTGAAGACGTGATGGTGGCAAATCTGGGAAACATTGGATATTCTTGAATTAAGAGGCAAAAGGTGATCGTGTGACTTTTATTTTGATTTGTCCACTTTTTTTTCTTCCATTTCTGCGGCACGCGTCAAAGTGACCATGGCGCATTTTATGACCTGCAGGTAACCAGCGTTTTTGTTGCCAATTAACAAAGATGGACTGAAAAAAAAAAAAAAACAAGTGAAGTTTGCCCTAACTCCAGGACGGCTCAAATGGCGGCGCTTAGGAGAAAATTTGGAGAAGACTATCAAGTGGTGAACACGAACCGGGCCACTACTTTCTCTGCTCCGGTGAAGAAAAAACGCCAGCGATTTGTGGACAAGAACGGCCGGTGCAACGTGCAGCACGGGAACCTGGGAGGAGAGACCAGCAGGTACCTCTCTGACCTGTTCACCACTTTGGTGGACCTAAAGTGGCGATGGAACCTGCTCATCTTCATCCTGACTTACACCATCGCCTGGCTGGTCATGGCATCCATGTGGTGGGTCATCGCTTATATCAGAGGGGACTTGAACCACGGACAGGACTCGTCCTACACTCCCTGTGTAGCCAACGTTTACAACTTCCCCTCAGCTTTTCTGTTTTTCATCGAGACCGAGGCGACCATCGGGTACGGCTACCGGTACATCACGGAGAAGTGCCCGGAGGGCATTATCCTCTTCTTGTTTCAGTCCCTACTGGGCTCCATAGTGGACGCTTTTCTTATCGGCTGCATGTTCATCAAAATGTCCCAACCCAAGAAGCGCGCAGAGACGCTCATGTTCAGCCAGGACGCAGTGATTTCCCAGCGAGACGGAAAACTGTGCCTCATGTTTCGTGTGGGGAATCTGAGGAACAGCCACATGGTGTCCGCTCAGATCAGGTGCAAACTTATAAAGGTAAGACCTCAGACAGAGACGATTTATACTATTTAGAAACAGGCGGGGATGCATTAACACAATAATGCACAATAAACCTGCAGAACATCATGTTCAAAGGTACACTATCACATTTTTAGATCCATCCGCGCTCAAACAAAACATAGACACCATTGTAGCCCAAATCTTCGTGAAATAAAGTGTACATCCCTAACAATTACACAGTGTACCTTTAAATTATGTTTTGGAAATAGACAAGTTAAAATTTCTTTTTTCCCTTTCAATCATGACTTCAAACTGGACCAGGTCTGGACATGGAATATTTTTGCAGGACACTACTTGAAGCTGTCAGTCTAACTCAGGTGTAGGTACGCAATTTGACTACAAAACAGCAAGCAGGACACCTGACAAAAACTGCGTGTACCCGTAAAATATGCAGGAGAGAAGTTTTTTGCTTATGTAATGTCTAAAATGGCCACAAGGTAAAAGTGTGGCTAGTTAGATTGCCTTACAGAAAAACTACTAACATTTCGATCCCAGTGATAACTGATTATTGTCTAAATTTCCCCATTCTGTGCATGGGTTCTCAGTGTCCTCTGCTTTCACCCTACAAGCAGGACCAGCTTAATTGGACAGTCCAAATTGACCAAAGGTTTGTGAGCATGAGTGGAGTGGTTTGTCATGTGACCCCACGATAGCCTGGTGGACTGTCCTGGTCGTAACCCACCTTCGCACCATGGGTGAGAGGATTAGGACAAACTTCCTTCAAGACCCTGAATCTTTTAAAGAAATAGGAGGTATTTACATGTCTAGAATAGCATTGAATTAATAAAAATGAAACGCAAAAGTAAGTCACAATCCCACATTTAACACTGCGCATTTTTTCTATAGTAATGAGTATCAGTAGAAACAGGCTTTATATATACTGTATATGATATGCGAGCTCTGTTGCCCAGGCAAGCTCTGAGTGACAGTTTCCATCTGTGGAAAATCTAGCTCTATCGCTCTCATCTGTGCCCACATCAGAAAAGAAGACGTACGTGTTGCATATTGATTAAACAACGTAACTCTAAAAAGGTCCCACACTGCAGGCCTCGTTAAACCAAACCGGCTCAAGGAAGTATTACCATAATCCGTCAGCTGCAGGATGGAGAGGCTGAGTGGCAGCCAGGTGCATCACAAGCCTCTGAGATAACACAACAAAGGGAGTGTTGGTCTTTGTGAGGAGTGCTGCAGGGATGATAGTGGACATTCATGTTTGTGAATGAATTCCTCCTGAAATGATGACACCTGGACAGATGTGAGCGAGGGCTGACACCGAGAGAAGGGAAGTCAGGTTCAGTGAGTTTTTGAGCTCTGCACAGGGGACAGAGGTGTCAGCAAAACAGAACTCCACGTGAGAAAAATGTAGGACAAACAGAAAACTTCAATAAATCGAAATTCATTTCATCATAGGGATGGATGTGAGTGTATATGGTTCTTTGTCTCTATATGTGGCCCAAGTTGTACCCTACCTTCACCAAGTGCCTGCTGGGATTGGATCCGGCCCATCTTTGGCCCTGAAAATGGATCAGATGGTAGAAAAAGAATAAATAAAGTGAAGTGCTCAAAACAATTATACATAGATAGCACAACATGAAAAGTAAAATGTCAGAAATGTTGTAATAAAACCTACTTTAGACTATAAGAGTGTAGGTGAAGGATTATCAAAGGAGGCCTCGACTGAGACTGAAGGTTTGACAGGGCAAGAAAGAAGTTGGAGTGATGGTGATGGCCGGACATCTAGACATATGTTACACACGCTGACACTGGGAAATGTTTTAGTTTTACATAGTTTCTTATACTGGTCCTCTACAGTTGTTGGTTTAACACACACAGTGGTGTCTTTAGTGGCACTGTTTAGTGTTGCATTACATTTGCAGTGGTATTTTGACCCTGTTATGAAGCAGAAAACACTAATATATCCATCAGTTTTGTAACTGCCTGGACAATCTCGAAAATGGAAAAACAGCAGGGTTTCTGTAATAAAATCAGCCAAATTTCTCTTTTGCTGCAACATGTCCACATGAAGGAATATCCACTGGAAATATGTCAAGAAATTCAAAGTAGTTCAAAATGATGCAGGTATACATGACCAATGAAGTGCATTCTGACAAAACAAAAAACAAAGCAGAAAGAAAATAATGGAAACACCGACTGTTGTGTTCTTGTAATGATCTTAGTAGAGACTCTTTCATCCATGTTCAATGTGCAAAAACAGCCCATAAAGAAGACAAACAGCATTAGCGAGGTGCTTGGAGCTCGTCTATGTCTGTGTTCTACGCCATTCGGCTACATCTAGCAGGGCGTTTGTCAGCTTAATGATGCATGCAAGCAGAGAGGACTGAGCTGCACCACAGTTAAAAAGTAGCCCAACAGGCTGGAGGACAATCACACAAGATACTGTAGGTGCGAAGTCCCTGCTGTATAAATGGACATCATATTTAAAATTCAACCTCCTAGGTTGCTGTTTGCCATCAATGATTCAACTACAAATCTATGTTTTAACTCTGCTTAAAAGGTCCTTACTTAAAATCGACTGAAAAAGATGAGAAGTAGTTCTACAAAATATAGGCTAAATGATGTCATAAATGTTGTAAATTCCCGACCTCTCTGCTACTCAAATTCATTTTTACACCTACAAGAACTATAGTAAATACATCACCCTCTTTGTGCTGCCAAGTGCAGGGTTTTGCTTCAGGGTTTCTAACCTTGTTCTCTCCCTTCAAATCCTTCTTACCGTGGCAGATTTTATTGTTGGAACATTGTCAGACCCCAGACTCCAAACACTAAAAATAAATAAATACAGTGAGTCATCATACATGGAAAAAATGAAGTATTTTAGCGGAATTCATAGCTTCGGATGTAGCAATCGAAACGTGGGAGATTTTTAAAGACATTGAGTGCAGTTCCGGTGCTGGGGTGTTGATGGTGCTATTGCGCTGCAACCCACTTCAACAAGTCCTCATGTTAAATACTCCCTATCAAATCTTATATTGATACAGTGGGTATAAGTATGCATTTCAAAAAGACCATATTAGGAACTTTCACACAGAGTTATATTTTGCAATGTTTATTTAACAAACTTTGAATTATCATAGCTCTTATTTTCTTAGCTAACTCTAGCTATTTATCTTTTGCTTGTTTTTATCATAATTTTTAGTTATATCAACACAGTTTTCAGCAGTTTCTTATTATTACTGCCTATGGTAAATTTAAATAATATTGTTTTAGAATTCTATTTATATTGTTACTTTCTGGGCTAAGTGATGATTTTATTTTAGTTTTTACCCTTACCAAATTTTGTATTGTAACATGTATTTTGGCTGAAAAAAATCATCTAATTCTATAGCTTGATATTTTGAGACAATTATCAGCATTTTTATGTTTAATTTTGTTTCTGTAGTTACATCCAAAACAAGTAAAATTCTCAAACTTTCATGTTAAACTAGACGGCTATGTTCACTTATTAAGAAGAGACCATTGTTTGGACCAATGAGAAGGCAGTCTGGTTTCCATCGTGATTACCCCGATATAATAAATAAAAAAACCAGCTCAGCATTTATTAAGTGTAGCTTCTTTGAAATCATGCAGTGAGGAGTCAGGTTAAGGATGAGCCTGTGATCAAAGTTTACACTGCATCACAAATGATGAAATGAAGTATTTTTCTTATCTAGTACTTCACATGTGCTGTGAAAATAAAAGACATGACAAAGAGCTATTTTCTCTTTTCCCACAACCCAATTTATTTGCTTCACTATTGTGCTGTTAGGGAGTGGGCACTATTAACTGTAAAAGGTCTGACCAAATTGGTATGGGTCCTGACAGAAACAGTATTACCTGCGGCAGCTGTGCTATTACAGCACACGAGTATAAACCTGGGAAAAACATCAATAACTCCTAATAATTTAGTGTTGTTGCTCTTTCCTCTTTTTGTGTTAAGAAAAATCTCTTAGATAGAGGTGAATTGGATGAACAGTTGGAACCACATGTAGTTTCCTAGTTACCCCTAACCCAGTGGTTCTCTGTCTCCGCTCCAGGTCTTCCCTCCCTTTTAAGGATACTGTTGCTGAGCCCTGTCACCAAACAGCCGGGGTTTTTGTTGTGTCAACTTTTCAAAAACTGGAATTCTCATCAAAAAAATAAATTAAATTTATGCACCGCTGCACAAGCTTTTTACCATATCTGGCAAGTATTCAATGTTGAATCAAGGTATGTGGATCTCTAGGCAGGGACCTTGGCATCTGGACTGAAGGCTAGGTCATCAGCACTGCGGCATAACAATGTGTCCCTTGGTAAAAACAGAATCTCAAGTTGGTCATCGTAAACCAGCTCCTTGCTACGTTCTTCACACAATATTGAAAGGCACCTGCAGTACTGTGTAAAGTGCTGTTGTTTAAAGCAGGGGTGTCAAACACAAATTCACAGTGGGCTAAAATTAAATACTCGGACAAAGTCACGGGCCAAACTCAATAGTTATTGAAAAATGAATTGCAATTCTTTGTTTTGTTTTCCCTTCTCTCCAGATCTGTAATGTAGAATTTTTTCATAGGGAAACAAACTTTAGTTTTCTGTGAACATTGAATCTGGAACAACCAAAGCTTAATAATATAAACACATGAGAAATTAAATTAAAAATAGAAAACACATCAGTGGTATTTGTTTCTTATTATGTCCCTTTATCTGTAGCATTTTGGGTTTCTTTTTAATGTAAATCTTTTTTCACAGGCCGACAACAAAGAAAAACAAAACCAAATGTGTCTGCTATAACCTAGTGCATACATCGCTAATACTACAAATCCTCCCAGTATATATGGGCTTTATAATTAAAATGATAAATTATTTCAATTTATTTTTTTATTTTATTTTATAAAATATTTTTATCAACATCAATTACTTGACATTTAAGGTGACCCCATTTGAATTCCAGCCCCAAGGCTCCAGACACAAGGTTTGGAAAAACACTACTATATTGCATGTAGTCTTCCAATTTACAACTGACCAAACAATCCATATCACCCCCTGGAGACAGGACAGGTCAAATATTAGATTCCTCCACCTTTGCTAAATGTACAGAGTGGGCGGACAGTTTCAGGCAGAGTGCAGCTCTATTAGACGGCCCTGGATGTCTGTCGACCTGAATACATACAAGCTCCTCCGCCTTCCTTTCAAGCCACTGATTGATGAAGGCCTGGACGAGCAAGGAGGGGAGTTAAGTGGGAAGATAGGTCTGATCAAGTCTATTAGTCACCTGTCCTCATCCATCAGCATCATTCACAGCACAAAAAGCCCACCTTTGTGTGCATGAAACAGGCTCTGATTGCTTTTCTAATGACATGTTGCCGGGGCTGGTGAACATCAATTGTGATAAATAAAAAGTTTCAACGTAGGAATCAGAGAAAATGGAGAAACACAACACACTCTGGGTTTATCATCACTCAGAGAGCGGAGTCTGTTTATGTGTTGGCACAGAACATCAGATTGTGTGGAAAACACGAGGCACCAGCTCAGCTATCGCTGTATCTTTGTGCAGGAGAAAACGTAGGAGACTGCCAACAGGGTCTGCATAAGGAGCTTTGACTGTCATTGTTTGCCTATAGTCACCCATAAGTAACAAAGATACAATCTGAAATGTCCCTAAACTAACATGAAGTAGCCCACACAGGAGCTGGTGCCAAATAGTATTCAGCGCTCTGTGCACATCCTGCAAGTAAACAATACGTCCCCAACTCCCTGGCTCATCCTGGAAGTCTCTCTCTAACACAGATTGGAAGGAGCGTCTCATTGTTATTCACCAGAGACGGAAATAGCAGGAGATGTTTTTGGCAATGCAAAAAGGCCTGTTTTACTCACACTTCGTTTGCCAAAAAAATCAGGCCAAGCCACTGGAAGGTCAGGGTGGAAACGGTCTCTGACTGTTGGCGGCCTGCAGTTGTGACTGTGATGAAACAGAAAAAAAAAATTGTCATAAATTATTTATTTTTCAAAAATAACACTTTTTTGTTGTTCACCATGTAAACTTTTTTTTAAAATTGTATTAGTTTAATATGTTTGATATCAAGCACATTTAAGGCCTGTGTTATTACCTTTAAGCTAAAATGTTTTCTGAAGACATTCACACATGTGATAACGTGTCTGTCATTGTTCAGTTTGTTATTCAGCTATCCTGGCTAAGTCGAACAGAAAATATATCAATACTAATAAATAAAATATATTTTTTAATGGAATGATTTCTATGAAAAATCTCAGAATATTCAACACTTATCTACTAGTAATACTTTATTTTCACGTGCTGTGGAGTGTGACGCAAGAGAAACGGAGAGCTTGATTAGACAAAACACGACAACGAAGGAGAGAATACACAGGACCCTAGTGCTGAGCTCCAACATCATCTGGGCAATTAAATGCTTCCGCACCAGTTAACACCGTGTGGGCAAGTCCTGTCCAAACACAGCAGTCTCATATGGTCTCACATGGAAACAGATTTGTGCAGAACAACTGGGTTTCCTCCATCCTTCTCACCGTTGTCAGGTCATTCTGATTTATAATTTGATTAAAAGTGCTGCCTAAGCATCAGTTAAAAAATGCTATTTTGTTGTAAGCAGGAAATAAACAGCTTATGTGTCAAACTCAAGGCCCGGGGACCAAATGTGGCCCACCAAGCCATTTTGTGTGGCCCGCGGGAGATTTAAAAGCATTTAGTTAAGTCCAAGCAGCAGAGTCTCTTAAGTAATTTAAAGTATTTATAATCAATCAAATGATAATAAATTGCAGAAACGTGTATTAGTCTGTTAAAATAAAGGTACATTATTTTAGTGTGTCCCACTGCGGCCTGGTACCAAGTGACCTACGGACTGGTACTGATCCGCTGAGTATGAATGTCATTGTCAATTTTTTGTTGTTGTTGTCTCTTCACGTGGCCCTGTGATGGAGGGGTGTACCTCACCCGAGTACAGCTGGGTTTGGTTCCAGCCGTCCGATTGTGAAAAGCACTAAGTCGTATAAAGAGAATGTCAGCTTGATAAATATAAAGAATCTAGAGGTGTCATCAGTAGAAAATAAGTCATAGGGGACAAGAACAACATCTAATCCATTGTGTCTAATCCCTATGCCATTTGTCTTCCAGTCTCGTCAGACACCAGAGGGCGAGTTCCTGCCGCTGGACCAGTGCGAGTTGGATGTGGGATTTGGCACAGGTGCCGACCAGCTCTTCCTCGTATCCCCTCTCACAATCTGCCACGAAATCAATCCCAAGAGCCCCTTTTTTGACCTTTCCCAGCGCTCGCTCATGAATGAACAGTTTGAAATTGTCGTCATCCTGGAGGGCATCGTGGAGACCACCGGTGAGGGCACTTCTCAGCTCTTTTGTATCTGGGTCACTTCTATTCTGCTGTTGCTGCCTCTGCTGCCCCTCTTCTCACTCCCAATCTAAATGTAAATTTCTTTATCAACCCACAGAACATACCTATCTAACAGATACTGCTAATCTGGACTGTGAAATCTCATTACCCTACCTTTCTAGTTTTGTAAAAGAAAAAGTCTGAATGAGAACAACACATTGTAATCACGCTCTGATTGAATTATTGGGCATATTTTATTACCTCAGAATCAGTTTCTGCCCCTGGATGCATAATAAAAGCCTGTGGTCATACATGCACATGTCACGTCGATAGATGAGTTTGTGTTTTATCAGGAGATCCACTGTATTTTTCAAACAGCTGAGGTATTTCTGAGCCGGGGAGATTGTGCTGTAAAGTACATGCAGTCACGCTGGAGTACTCTCAGCAACAACACAACGCTGAGCTGCATATTTATCAGAGTCATTTCCCCCAAAGTCTAATACAAATAAATCCAACTTCCTTACTTTCCAGCTCTGTTTCTATCCGTTCCCATAACCCTCATTTTATCTGCGCACAAGGGGAAACCACAGAGCTGAACAGGCCTAGAGCAGCAGGGGAGGCTCAGCGGGGAAGTGGAGAGGCAGGCAGGCAACACAGTCTGTGCACTTTTGATAAAACCAGTAAACAGTGTTGTGACTATGAGAGCTGAGAGCCAGATAAGGGTGAGCTGAGGCAGCGTCACCATCAACTGGCTACAACGCCCCGACATTGTCACACATCCACATTAACACGCATCCCATTAACTTTAAATCATGACGAACTGCTCTCCCATCACGTTCACTCACTGCTGATACAGCACTTCAGCACGTTGGTTCTGTCTGAATCGTCTCAAATGAAGTGGAAATATTACCAGTCAGCCACTTTAGTATTTGTCAGCCTCACTTCATGACATATTGTTTCTGTTTCATAAACAAGCATAAAGAGAGCCATCTGAAAATCTCTTTTGGTCAGATAATGACTTGCATCGATTCTCACTAATGAAGAGTTTTGTCTCACATCATTAATAATGACGTAATGTTTAAGTTAATATGACATGAAAACTCCTTCACTAAAATCAAACTTTGATGGGAGTTTAGACATTTAGACCATTTAATGTGGGGATGTCTATTAAAGTGTTTCGTGTTCTGTTTTTACTTTCACTACATTTACTTTGGCTCATCATCATTCCAAAGCTCCAGTTAAGCCAGCCTTAGTATTCAATTCAATAGTGGTTAGCTTACTGATTGACTCACAGAGAACAGCTCGACCTTACTGTGCTCCATTTCTTTGGATATTAGGGCTCAAGAAATAAGGTCCATCGTGCAGAAAAATGTAGCTTCCCTGGTTTGCAAAAGTCTAGATGTGAAATATGACAAGGGCAGACAACTAGCATAGTACTGTATACTTCAACAGTACTAAACTGTTGGTCTCAATCTGGCCAGTAAATCACTATTTTTCAGATTTTATTCGCTGGGCATTCCTCCAATATGCAGATGACACACACCTCTCTAGTCAGATACCGATGTTAAAATTATCCAGTTTAAATACTCCAACAGGAAAAGAAAAGCATTATAGTACACACCAACAACCACAGCCACTGATGGCTACAGCCAAGAATTTTTAAACAAGGTCTTCTTCAGGGATGCCCTGATCACAGTCTGCCAAGTGTTTGCAGAGCTTTGCTTCCGAAGCGCTTTCATTCTATGCGAGATCAAGTCAACATTAAGCAACTGGCCAAATACCCATCAGGCTGTAAATCTGCACGCTTCCAGTGCACTGGTATTACTGCTCTCTTATGTATTATCATCAGCAGAAATGGAAAACAAAGTCTCCCCACAGTCTGGAGATAATACAACTGGAAGTTCATGCTGGACTTAATCCTTTGATCAAAGCCTCTGACCTCATTGTAATAAAAATGACTTTTGTTTGGATAAAAGTCTGTGGAGGGTTTTTATTGGATGAAGACGAGTAAAAAAAAAGGCTGGAATACCATCAGTTCCTGACTCCTATATTATAGTTACTGCATTCACTGCAGTCCAGTGTGTAGTGTTAAACAAATAGAGGTTAGAGCAAAGCTATTGTTTCAGAAAAATAGAAATTTATTGATCACAAGACACCTCCAAGCAATCATCCAAACGGACAGCGATTTGTTTTGCGTCGAAAAGCATGTACAGGATCTGAGGGTTTATGGAATCCTGCCACGAATAATGATTACTCTTATATAGTGTAATTTTATTGTTAAAAAACACACACATATATAAATATATTAGGTGTATAAGTATATATTACTTTTCCCAGTGTCATCATGAATCATCGTTAAACTGTTCTCAGATCAAGTTATCAATATGCTGCTGCATAAATGACTCCAGTCAATTAGGACTTTCCTATCAATACCACAGGTAGCACCAAATAGATGTTAGGCCATGACCTATGACCCCTGTCATCTTTGTATTGACATGGAAATGGTTTAGCCAGCTGCTAAATATGTTGAGCCAATTATCGCCACCTACACAAAGCACCGCAATATCAAGCGTCACTCTGACCACTGCTTTCATCTGCAACTATAGTAAATCTAGGAGTACCTCATTAATTATAATAGCTCATTAAATACTGTTGTAATATAACTAAATATTTAAGTGGAGACATCATTTCATTCTAATATCTTGAGATTAAACTTTGTTCATGGGGCCATCTATAGCATTGTTTCCCACTGACTGGGTCGCGACCCTCAGGTGGGTCGCAAGAGGTTTTTTTGGGGGGGTCGACTCGCATCATGTTTCCCAGAAGTTTGAAGCTAACACAAAATAGCCAGAGAATTTTGCATAAAATGAGCCTACAGTCCAAACAGAAAATAGCAGAAAAATATTACAATAACAAATAATAAACAAATAATAAACACAATACCGGTAAATAAAATGTGTCTATATAAATTTGTCTAAAGTGATAGTGAAAAAATGTTGTTTTTTTTATCTTGCAGGCATGACCTGCCAGGCTCGGACATCATACACCGAGGACGAGGTATTATGGGGCCATCGTTTCCTGCCTGTGATGTCCCTGGAGGAAGGATTTTTTAGAGTGGACTATTCACAATTCCACAGCACGTTTGAAGTTCCAACACCACCGTACAGCGTCAAGGAACAAGAAGAGAAAAATTCACTGCCTTCAACACTATCTACTCCCATCCCAGCAATCACTGAGAGCCACAGTGCCCGGAGAGACCGAGTGTTTTCTGTAGATTGCATCAACAGTTCAGATGAAAGAGGCCATCAGGGAGGGATGGGAGGGCGGCTGCCAAGCAAGCTGCAGAGGATGAGTTCCTCTGGAAAGGAGGATCTGCAGAGGAAGGTTCTTCTGCTCAGTTCACAGCACTCGGAGAAAGCCTGCAGCACAGGAGACCTGCCCCTGAAGCTGCAGCGTCTCAGCTCCTCCTCGCCGGTACCCGAGGCAGAGAATCGACTGCAACTCAAGTCTCTCAAAGTGGGCTTCGAGCCCATGACCCAGTCCACAGGCGATCTGTACCAGTGTAGCCTTCAACCCACCCTGTCCCCTGCTCCTGTCCACCCACACAGGCCTCTGCTCTCAGGCGCAGGGAGGCCGGAGGACAACCTACCACCAAAACTGAGGAAGATGAACGCCGAACGCTAAAACCCAGAGAGATGCAGAGACCCTCACTGAGCACAAAAGGACTTAGGACGCATGAAATCAAATACAAAAATGTACTTTCAAAATAAAACAATGGTTTAATTATATTACATTGTTTTATTTTCTCTTTTTTTATAATCTTGAGAGACAGCCTTCAGTGGAACTACTGTGATATCTGTGTTTCATAACAGATACTTTCATGCAGACATTGTTGCACAGAGCAACAAGAAAAGAAAAGAAAAAACAAACCACACAGACGCCGTGCCTGAATCAAACTGGCTGATTCTGTCTGAGTTGAGTTCTGCATGTATACACTGAATCCTTTCTTTATGTATGCGCCACTACTCTGTTTATTTAATAGTCAATCTTAGTTTTAACTAATCATAAATTATATTATGATGAAAAATAAATTATGTTTAATCATCCATTGATCCGTGTTTTCTTTGCTTTTCACATAACTCAGTGAACAGACGCAGTAGGCGGTTCGTTTTGCCAGGATGTCGATAGGTTACACAATGCTGTTTTAAAAGGGAACTGTTAATGCACTGATTTTACACCCTTTACTCAATACACGAACAATCTCGTAATTTACTGTTTTAGAAATGTGAGGGGGGGGGGAGCAAGTGCATAATTAGCCATGCTGCTGCTGCTGCAAGACAGAGAAAAGGAAAGGGTGATTATGGAAGAAGAGACACTGATTAAAGTCAAACCATTGTTCCAGACAGAGGAGTAATGTGATTACAGAGACATTATGACTCTGCTCAGAAACACACCCAAACTTAATGCTTGTGTTTCAGTCTTAAATAAATGTGCCAGCACAAAGAACAGTGTCTTTGTTCAGTGGACGGCCCGCTCCCTTCGAGCAGATAATTAAGTAAAAGGACAACATACTTCGTCTTGTAAATGATAAACTGTCAAATATTGGAACCACACACTACACACTTTTTTTGTAAAACAGTCCAGAAACCAGAGAGTATGTTAACACCTTAAACTGGACCATAGTCACAAAGCTGACAAAGTCATTCAGTCGTTCATTCAGCTTGTGCTGTACAACAGTTCATATGTACCACATGTTTGTACATGAACATTTAAAGCTGTAAAGATTCACATCTCATTGCTACATAACTTGCTAAGCGATTGGGAGCTAACATACTGGGGAGCTAACTTACGCTAAAACAAGAAATCGAGAGATGAATGTGTCTTGGTTGTTTGGCCCGGTCTGTGAGAGGTTATAAAGACGTGGCTAAAATCCACATTTAACGTCTTTAATTCCTCAACAAATTGCACCCTAAAAATACATACAGATAGAGCTCTCCTGCTTTTTTTTTACGTCATCTGTAAACAACATCACACAAAGAAGTATTTCCCACCAGCGGTGAGATTTTTGCTGTTTTCTCTTATATAACTCATACTAATGCCAATGTTAGGAAACAACAGCAGGCAGAGCACTTGCTACAGTAATTACGGAGGCGATGACCTGTTTTCTAGCAGGTCAAAAAAGTGGAAAGGAAGTACTTGTCACCTCTGAAACCCATTTGCTCAGACAGAGCATTTCTCCACCCACAGACAGCCTAGTGTGATGACACAAGAGGACTCTCTGTATGGAGGCTGACATGGTTACAAAGTGAAGAGTACTGTAGATCTACTTTCTCACACAAATAAGATAGACAGATGGATGTTACCGTTAACGTCTGCGGTTGTAGTAACAGCAAACAGAAAACAAATACCTTTACTGAAATACATAAATTAAACACATTTTTTAAAGAAAGGGACCATTTTTGTTTGTGGCATTTGCCCTGTAGGTACAAAGTTCATAATAATAAAAATAACCCCCCCCCCCCACACACACACACACACAAATTAAATACTATTGAGAGCCTGATAACACGTATATGTACAAACCAATGTATGAGTTGCTGCCACCTAGTGACTGGAGGCTGGTTATCATTCAAGCATCACAGCAGTGCTACGCTTATGTCCAACGTGCCATATTCCAGTGGAAGCCCCTCGCCCCACAGGGGGTCCCGCCCCACTATTTGAGAAGTACTGGTTTAGTGTGTTAAAAAGCCAACACACCATCATCACCACCACTGCAGCAGCACAAAGACAAACCAATCACAGCACCGCCCCTCATTTCTGCAGCTTCAAACACCCACCCAGTTAAAACAAGCAAGGAATTATTCTGTTCACTCTCTCTCCTGTGATTTCACCCATACACACAGTGTCACTGTGGGTACAATTGGCCAGACTGTAATGTGAGGGATTCCAGACAAAAGAGAGAGGTTTTAATAAAAGTGACTGTAATGGTTTGGGTCAAAGCCATTTCATAATTTTTACCTGAACAAAATCCGCCTCAAGCGATTTAATGATTTGAGCTACAACAAAGACCAAGTGTTAAAGCCTGTGTCGTGATTAAATGATGCATCAACAGCCTGTGTGAATAAAGTTCACACGCTTAAATTAAGTTGTTGTGGCTCAGAGCAACAATCCAGGTTCTGGAATGGTTGGAGAAAAGTAAATAAACTGGAACAGAAGCTGTAAATGTTGGTTTCCAGCAGAAACTGAAAATAATAATAATAACAAAATGATGCAGTAAAGGTATGACAATCACCATTACTGCTTTTCATAGATGATACTACCTCATTAGGTTATTGATTGTCGTTGCTCTTCTTGTCAGCTTTTTTAAACTGTCAATCAGCCACTGTGATACAAACAGGAAGATAACTTTTGCCTCAGAAGGTTAAACTTTACAAACATGTTTTTTTCAGGGAGATCAAGAGTCTGAGTTGTTCAAGATTCAGTTTAAGCCAGTATCTGCAAATACCTGAGATTGTAGTATTGATTTTGGAATTGGATATAAAGACGTAAAAACAGGACTGAGACGATAAATATAAAGCTTGAAGCTAACTGAAAACAGCTGGAGGGGTTTTGCATAAAATGAGTCAGAGAAAACAGAGAAAACAGCAGAAAAAATTGCAAAAAGTTGCAAAATAACAAATAATTCAAACGTAAATACGTAAAACAATACAGTATGTTAAATCATATCCGTCTCGGGACTGTGTTACTGTGTATCAGCTAATAAACGAGGGGTTGAAAAATGCCCCGAATGACAAACAACATCCGTCAAATCTCCGTTAAGAAAAAAAAACCATAGAGATAAAGACTTTCCTTTCTTTGTCAGCTGATAGGTCTGTCGCGTCGTGGTCTACAGTTGGTTCTTTTACAGCCCACAGTAACTGGTTTGGCCTTTTCTCTGTGAATGTGGCTAATTAGGCCACTTGTGTGTAAAGTTGCCATGACAGAGTAAAACACTTAATTTAGACGTGTTGACACACGCACACACACACACACACACACACGCACATACAGGAGAAAAAATAAACAAAGAGTAAGCAGCTGTCAATCAAATGCCATGAAACCCTTCTCTTCCCTTTTATCACCACAGCAACACAGGTGCATCTTTGCTTTGTAACGAAAATGTATTGTGTGTGTGTCTGTGTGTGTGTGTACAGTCTAGGTATAAATATATGTTGTGCAAACCTTTTGTCCTTGTAGCGATGTCTTCACTTAACCACAAAAGGATTAGAATATAGAAAGATTAGAATTAAGGTTTAAGGTTAGGCTAAGGATTAAGATTAGGGGAAAAGTGAAGTCTTGACGACTGTGTGTGTGTGTGTGTGTGTGTGTGTGTGTGTGTGTGTGTGTGTGCATGGTGGCATCTTTGTATTCCTTTGTCTACTTGTCTTTCCACTCTCATTTATCTAATGTAGCAGCAGCACGTGCAGCCTGGTGTGTGCAGGTAGCAGGGAGCGCCGATCTAATCTGCAGATACGGAGCTCTTGTTCCTGCAGCCCTGCTCTTTACTCACCGACAGAAAGCCCCTGGGAGCCCAGGAGAAAGGACTGCAAATAGCATCAGAGGCGCTCATCCCTCTGTCTCGCATTTTAATTTCAACTTGTCTGCCTTACAATAGAGCTAACCACTGCTGGCATGCTTGGAAAATAAATGAATGGCGGAGTGCATTGATTTTTCGATGCATATAATACCATATGACTTGCCCGTGGCCATTCGTGGGGAACGTGTAAATATTGGCTCTTTCCCGCAAACATTATTAGTTCATCTTGAGGGTTGGTCCACTGGGGTCACGCCTCTCTCTTTACTTCTTCTAACCTAACCAGACCAAAGATCGAAGAACCAATCGATACTCGTCTCTGTGCTGCCACCAGAACCACGACTGGCAAAGGGGTCGGATGCTCAAAGGTCTGCATTATCATTTATCTTCAGGGGGTGGGCAGTCGGCGGGGGAGCATGTCAGGAGAGACCGGAGGACGGAGCTTCTTCTACAGCTCAGAGAGTTTGGTCCAGGCCGAGTGTGATGACCTCACGCCACCTCAAAATCAATAGCTGTGATCTCTATTCATCATTGGTAGACACAAACAGTCACAGCCATATGAAACTAGACTAATGTCTTCAAAGGAGTTATTCGTGTATATATTATTCATTTATATTTTTTTCACTTTGCATCTTTGTCCGTATAATAATAATAAAATATAATAATTGATAATAAATGAAAAACTCAATATCATATAAATAACATGACTGCTTTAAAACCTACCAGCATTCACTACTACAACACAAATACAGGCCAAAAATATTAACATTAAAACTACGGGAAGTTTACATATATATAAAAATATAAACCTATTTTTTTCTCTGCTAATAACAGCAGTAGACTCAATGAGACGGGTTTATGTCGGCCACTTCACTCTACACACACTGGCTGTGGCTGACGGTTTCTGTGGTGGATCCTCCCTGAGGATGCGTAAACACGTTAAGTGGGAGGAAGAGGAACAGCAGAGAACAGGAACAGGGCCACTTTATTACAGCAGATTACCTCTAAAAGGTCCACGTCCTGCAGCTTTACAGCAACGTCGAGAAATCACACCACGAGCTTCACACCCAGTGACACCTGTGTCCCTGCTGTCGCTGAATCAGTCCATTAAACATTAACAGTGTTCAGACCAAGACCTCCTGCTGGTTCCACCAATGAGAACTGACGTTATAATTTCAGGCTGAAATTGTTTGTTAAATGTGACTGGGTTAATTGTTCATTTGGATCTAATTACATAATGCTCTTTTTTTTCTATTTGTCAGCAGCATAATACATTTGAAAGGTTATGTAGAATGTTTGTGACTGAGTTTTATATTATAAATGTTTAGTTAATGTAGATCCTCTTCTCATTTAAATACATGTAAACCTGATATATTATCACTGAGATAATCATCCAGCCACAGCTTTATTCAGTTGATGCCTACAAAGTGCTTTGTAGATCAGGTTTTTGTACTGTAGTATATATATTGTAGCTACTCTAATTTAATATAGTGTATGTTTACCCCTGCCAATCATTAAACCGCTTTA